CTTTAGGAATTTACTATTTCATTTATTTCTTTATTTCATAACGTTAGATTCAATTTGGTGAAAGTTTATTACGTTGTCGTATTTATAGTTTTTATAACTTTTCAATCATGCTTCACTAAAAACCAAATTTTATTAATTTAATAGAACTTGCGAAATTTTCTTAAGGTTAATCACAATACACTTCTGATTCGGTACACTAAGTTACTAATAAAATAAATCTCCAAATGATTCTGACATTTTCCAGTCTCTCTGAAATCGACAGCAGAGGAGAACTTAAAGGAATGTGCCTTCATTGTATATTTTGACTCATTTATCAACTCTCCTTTGAAATCTTGTACAAATATATTTTAAAATGAAATTCACTCTAAATGTATCTGTACTTTCTTCGTCGTTCAACACACGTTTGACACATTTTATCACAACTAATTAATAATATAAAACTAAACTGATAATTTACTTATCCCTGAAAAACAAGTTCAATTTGATACTTATGTATTCAATATGCTTGTGTCAATCTGATTTTTAGTTAAGTATTTTCTATATAATAGTGTTATCCTTGATAAATCACAACTGTGAATAACGAGGTAGATGAAAGGAGTATGAAGCATCTTGCACTTAGAGTAAAGAACTGAAAAACGGAAGTAAGAGAAAGAATGTATCGTTTATTTGTAATTAAGCACAAAGCTACACAATGGGCTATCTGTGCTCTGCCCACCACGGGTATCGAAATCCGGTTTCTAGCGTTGTAAGTCTGCAGACATACCGCTGTGCCAATGGGGGGCAGAATGTATCGACACAATGTAATAACGTTAGGTTGCACTGAAATGTTGTGCATATATGTTTAATTCTAGTATAGGTTGGTCGTATATTTTATAAAATGATTAGTTATAGGGTTAGAAAAACGCATGCCTTCCCCATCGTTATAACTATTTTAAAGAGTTTGTTTGTAGTTAAGCACAAAGCTGCACAATGGGCTATCTAAAGCTGGTTTCTAGCAGTGTAAGTCCGAAGACATACCGCTGTGCTAATGGGCAGCAAAGATTTAGTAAAATCACCTCAACTAAATGTCGCCATCTTGGTAATTATGTTACTACATAGTTGATACGATTGATTTAGAAGTAGAATTTGGTTTTGCTTCTCCTGTAGGGTTTAATAGGAGTAATTTTATACTGAAGTCAGCAGTACGCTTTTATAGGAAATACAGAATCTGTCCCCCCGGTGGGGCAGCGGCAAGTTTATATATTTACAACAATAAAGTTCGAGGTTCGATTCCCCGCGGTGGGCACAGCAGATAGCCCAATGTGGCTTTGCTCTAAAAACAAATACATAAAATTTTGAGTAAATTCACGAAACTGCCTTGCCCTTCCAAGAGGAAGCCTCGAATCTTACACATTCATTTTTATATTTGAACGATTGAAAAAAGTATACTTAATAGTATATCCAGGTTAATTTTTAATTGATATATAATAACCATATGTGTTATTTAATTCATTATTATTTTTAGCCAGCAGAAGTGTATAGTTTATATCAAATCTAAATGTTTTTATTTCCTCCCATATATGTTTAGAAGTTTTGCTCTGAATATGTGATAATAAAAAATACATGTAATCTGCTTAGTTTATATGTTTCATTAAGCCAACTTGCAAACTGCAGGCGCGACGTCCTGAAACTTGGTTCATTTTGGGTGAAATCTTTACATAAACAAAATGCAAGTATTTGCCAATAGCCTTTGAAAATTACGTTATAACTAACTCAATATTTTCCAGTGAATTTCTCACGAAGCTACTCGATAGCTATCTGCGCTAGCCGTCCCTAACTTATCGATGATAGACTAGAGGGAAGGCAGCTAATCAACAACACCCACCGCCAACTCTCGGACTACTCTTTTACCAACGAATAGTAGGATTGACCGTAACATTATAACGCCCCTACGGCTGAAAAGGCGAGCATGTTCAGTGACAAGGATTCGAACCCGCGACATGGAGATTGCGAGTCGAGCACCCTATCTACCAGGCCTTTTTCTTAAATATTCAAATGTAAAAATATTATTTTGAAATACAGTTTAGTGACTTTACATATTTTCAGGAATTTGAAACATTTATCGACCATCTTATACAATTTACTAACATTCAGTTACAAGTTCAAACTGAGCTTCTTAATTATTTGTTTAGTTTTTTTTTAACACAAGCTTTGGCCTTCGTTATTATATATATTGTAATTTTCGTTATTAATCCAAAGCAAAAATAAATTATAACCAACAATTCATATATATCATAAAAAAATTATATAGTGGGAGTGGTCGTATATTCATCGCCTGAATTCAACCAAATGGAACAATCTATTACCGAATTTTAGTGTTTTGTGTTTATTGTAAGTAATTCACTATACCTTAAAACCTACCTTCATCATATCCATATATACAACTACGAAAACAATCCATCATTTCAACAGGTTTTTGCTTTTCTTACCCGTTCGGCCTGGCTCGACTTTAACTCAGTTACAAGAATGTCTAGCGTACCGGAGAATCACGCCCACTAGCGGCAAGCGAACTTTCTTGTTGGGATGACTTACAAAATATTTTAATCCCATTTTCTAAAATCTCTCCCTATATATATATATATATTACGCAACAAAACTGTTAACACGCACACAAATTTTACCTTGATGATAGCACCTTGAATATATCTTGTAAAGCTGGTTGGTTAGCCCTACGTGACGTCACAGTGAATATCAAGTTTTTTGTTGCACCAGATATTCTATGATTCATAGGGATTTTGACAATCCATGTGGTAAAGTGCACACCAACAAACAAGTTGATAACTAAACATCGATCTTTGTTTTAAACAAAGTTTATATGTGATTATGGTCACTGCTATTTTAAATTAGACAGAACTGTTTCTACCTTATGCGGTAATTTAGATAACTATATCACGTAACATGAAAATATTTCAGGTGTTCAAAGCATGCCATAAGGAGTTAAAAACACATTTCTCAGTTTATGCAACTTTTTTTTTTTTATCAAATCGCGATCACAAGTCACGACTCGCTGTTCATTGTATGCAGTTCTCCGCATCATTGCATATTTTGTGAGAAATATAACGTATCCCCAGAAATGGCTTCTAAAAGTAAAAACACGCAAGTAGGGTCTAGTGGTAAGATAGATGAACATGAGATCATCCAAGTTGCAAAGTCTTTTGAACAGAATATATATGCACAGAAACCAGATGTGATACTACATTATGTCATGTGAATAGCGCATTTGGGCAGATTTTGAAAAAACGTAATATCATCTAATTCGCAATGGTAAAAACACAGAAACGAGTAATGAAACATAAGCTTGTACCGCTTAATGTTAAGGTAATGATCTATTCTCGGCTTACTTCATGCATATGTAAAATGTAGCAATTATTAATTTATAAGCATTTCCTGAGTGAGAACTAAGCAAACTCACTAATTACTCACAAGCGTTGTAGCAAGTCTTCTTCTTTGGAATTTCGCGCAAAGCTACAGGAGGACTATCCGCACTAGTCGTTTATAATTTTGAAGTGATAGACTAGAGGGAAGGCAGCTAGTCAACACCACCCACCGTCAACTCTTGGGGTACTCTTTACTGTTTGTTTTTGTTTTTTTCGCGCAAAGCTACAGGAGGATTATCCGCACTAGTCGTTTATAATTTTGAAGTGATAGACTAGAGGGAAGGCAGCTAGTCAACACCACCCACCGTCAACTCTTAGGCTACTCTTTTACCAACG